TAGTAACTGTGTAAAGATTTTGTGTGTATAATTATGAACTTAGAACATATATTCACATAGTAACTGTGTAAAGATTTTGTGTGTATAATTATGAACTTAGAACATATATTCACATAGTAACTGTGTAAAGATTTTGTGTGTATAATTATGAACTTAGAACATATATTCACATAGTAACTGTGTAAAGATTTTGTGTGTATAATTATGAACTTAGAACATATATTCACATAGTAACTGTGTTAAGATTTTGTGTGTATAATTATGAACTTAGAACATATATTCACTAGTAACTGTGTAAAGATTTTGTGTGTATAATTATGAACTTAGAACATATACTCACATAGTAACTGTGTTAAGATTTTTTGTCTATAATTATGAATTTTGATTTTCGTACTAACTGGAAAAATGTTCAGATTTTTATTTAGTTTTGGAATAGGTATAGTTTTCTACATTTTATATATTAAGTACGATTGTAACAAATTGGGATTTATCTTCCATAAACAGATAACTAAATCAAGAATTTGAGATCTTTATGCAATCATTTATACCAATCAGTAGGCTTGTAAATACTAAAATAATATTACATTGTATTTTCCTAAATTAAAAGTTTTGTTTCTATCAGGTGGATCTAATCTTATTGAAGAACTCCTTGGTGGACAGCTGTCACAAAATAAGCGAGCAAAAGAAGGTTTAGAGGCTATGAAACTCTTTTTTAGATACTGTGATATCTATGGAATATCAGATAAGGTAATCTTTCTTTTTCTTGTTGACAAATTTAACACATCTTGCAAGTTAAAGTAACTTAGACTTGACATTTGTTTTCATTTACTGAAATTTTGACTTGCACCTATTTTCCACTACAAAATACATACCCTTCAGTTTGTTTACCACAATATATAAACTATCTGTGTATCCTAATGTTCATGTATAAACTATATACATTACCTCATTGGAGTGATACCAGTGTATCCTAATGTTTATATATAAACTATATACATTACCTCATTGGAGTGATACCAGTGTATCCTAATGTTCATATATAAACTATATACATTACCTCATTGGAGTGATACCAGTGTATCCTAATGTTCATATATAAACTATATACATTACCTCATTGGAGTGATACCAGTGTATCCTAATGTTCATATATAAACTATATACATTACCTCATTGGAGTGATACCAGTGTATCCTAATGTTCATATATATATACTATATACATTACCTCATTGGAGTGATATCTGTGTATCTTAATGCTCATGTATAAACTATATACATTACCTCATTAGAATATCCTTTTATTCTAGAGTTCTTTTACAAACTACATACTGATATCTATGTGTTTGAGTTTAAATGATCACCGATTCTCTGGGTTTAGATTCTGTCTAATATTTGAAATTATTACTTTGGTTCTCTGGGGTGTAGATTCTGTTTAATATTTTAGATTATTACTTTGGTTCTCTGGGGTGTAGATTCTGTCTAATATTTTAGATTATTACTTTGGTTCTCTGGGGTGTAGATTCTGTCTAATATTTTAAATTATTACTTTGGTTCTCTGGGGGTGTAGATTCTGTCTAATATTTGAAATTATTACTTTGGTTCTCTGGGGTGTAGATTCTGTCTAATATTTGAAATTATTACTTTGGTTCTCCTGGTGTAGATTCTGACTAATATTTTAAATTATTACTTTGGTTCTCCTGGTGTAGATTCTGTCTAATATTTTAAATTATTACTTTGGTTCTCTGGGGTGTAGATTCTGACTAATATTTTAAATTATTACTTTGGTTCTCCTGGTGTAGATTCTGTCTAATATTTGAAATTATTACTTTGGTTCTCTGTGTGATATTTTAAATAATTTGTTTTATTATGTACTTGTAGATTCTGTTTGACCTGAGTCTTGCTCGAGGACTGGACTATTATACTGGAATCATATATGAGGCTATCTTGAAAGGTAAAGAGAAACTATCTATAATGAACAAGATAAAACTGTAATTTTTACAGAATTCCATAATAATTAACATAGCTTAGAAATTAATGATCCATTATATTTGTTTTGATTACATTCATACAATAATTTCTGCTTAGGGTACAATATACAAAATAAGCCATTTTTAAATTGTTTTTTTTACCATATTCATGAACTGTAATGAGTTTCAAGGTTGTTGCTCTTTGTGGGATGTTTATAAATTTGAAGTTAATACAACTTCACTGAGAGTACAGTTATTGATGTAGGAGGTGAATGGGTGGGTGGGATGTGGCATTATTCTCTGTGACACAGACACAAAAAAATAAAGGATTTTTGTATCAAGTTTTAAGGTTTTTTAAGTAATGATTTGTTCATGCATTTTTTCTTTTCGAATGTTGACTAGCCAACATGCAAAGTAATTTAGATTTTAAGATTAAAAATACTTTTATACATCAGAAAATTTTAAAAATTCACATGCGAAATCTTTATAACCTCCAAATAATTATCAAATGCTTTTTTTTAGAAAAAACTTTATACTTTATCTGTTATTTTCCCTACCGTATCTCTGTGTGGGTTGGGTAGATTTGACTGACCGCATAACCACTATAAAAAAAAAAAGAAGAGAAATAGGTATAGATTATGCTTTTTTCGTTCTAGAATAAATAAAAATTATAACACAAACATATGTGTTTAGTCTAAACAGCTTAAATTTTATAATATTATACATCTATATATATTTTTATTTTTAATTTATTGACCTTTCAGCCGTGCCTGGCTAGCATTACAGAAGTTGCAACTTTACAAAGTGACGTTTCTTGTTTTAGTAGACATTATATTATAATACATTATATATATGTATATACATTATTACTATTTACAAATTAATTCTTAAATTTATTTTTCGTAAAACATAGATTAGTAAATAAAGAACTAATGCAAACAGTTATTTCTTCTAGTTACGATTTTTTTACTCGGTTGCTGTTTGACATAAGTTTTGAAGCCTTATCAACTTTCGCACGTGGAAGATGTAAAACAAAATCATTTTTTAGGTTATTTTTATATATGCATTTTGAAATAACAAAAAATCATATTGATAACATAGAATTCCACTATAATTTATCAAGCTTATAACTAAGTTGTATTTGGATATAAAAAAATATGAAATTTCGAGCTCACTAATGTCTTACCTTGCTGCTTGGAATCTAGCATGAAAAGAAAGTTTGCCACGCAAATACTTTTCAGAGGCTGAGAAAACCACTAGGGGGACATTTTGAGCTTTTGATTGGTTATACACACGTCATTGAGCGAAGTAGGTGTACGTAAGCAAGTATTTTCAAAAATTGAAGAGGTAGGCTGGACCACCTTGGTTGATTCAATAAATATATTAATATCTCAGAAAATATAGGATGTTCTTATCGTATAGCTTGTCAATATCAATAATTTGAGTATCAAAATCGTAAGAAACTATAGACTTTGTATTTGTACATCACAAACATCTAATTTGAACCAATGCTGCATTCAGCATACCACCCAACACACAAAAATTTATATTTAAGATTTTTTTTATATTTACTTTTAAATTATAAAATTATCTAATATATATTATTAAAATTTTAATTATAATCTACAGTTTGATACCAAACTTATTGACATAAATTCATAAAATAGTAGTTCAGTAAAATGTGGAATGTGAGTCTACAAACGGGATAACATGGCCTATGACCCGTGACCATAGGAAGACCCGTGTTGGTAGGGTTAAGGATATTTCAAATGTTTTAACACATGCATAGAGAATGTGATGCAATTAATTGTTTCTATAAAAAGTTGGAGCTCTGGCATCTGGAGTTTAAGGTGTTTGACATAATTTCTCTGGCATCTGGAGTCTAAGGTGTTTGACATAATTTCTCTGGACATCTGGGGTCTAAGGTGTTTGACATAATTTCTCTGACATCTGAGTCTAAGGCATTTGACATAATTTCTCTGGCATCTGGAGTCTAAGGCATTTGACATACTGGCATCTGGAGTCTAAGGCGTTTGACATAATTTCTCTGGCATCTGGAGTCTAAGGCGTTTGACATAATTTCTCTGGCATCTGGAGTCTAAGGCGTTTGACATAATTTCTCTGGCATCTGGAGTCTATGGTGTTTGACATAATTTCTCTGACATTTGGAGTCTATGGTGTTTGACATAATTTCTCTGACATTTGGAGTCTATGGTGTTTGACATAAGTAGATGACAAGTTACTTATATCCATTGGAATTTGCTGTTGACCTTAATACTTGATGACGAGTAGAATAATATTGTATGTATTGTCACTCTATTCATCTTAAAGCTTTTGGAACTTGAAGTTAACCCTGTGTGCACAGGTGGGGTTAAAGTATGCATGCCAAGACCCTTTAATAGAGTGACATTCTGTATGGTATTATGTATTTGATGTCAGTGGTATCAACTAAACACTTTACCCTATGCTGATGACAGTGTGTAAATAACAGATACAAAATACTCTGAAGAAAACAGTAGACATGCATTTCAGAATATTTTGGTTTATGCAAATACAATATGCAAACTGTACCTTGCACTCTGAATTGTCAGAGTTTAAGCCTGACATCAGCAATTCACAGACATATCTTCAATACAATTACTTTTGTAATATGTCTAATTTTTTTTGGTACAACAGACTTGTACATTTTGCTAAAAGCTTGCCATATTTTGTGTAGATATAAAAAAATAAATTTAAAATGTTAATCAAAATTTCTTCTCCAGTACCAAGTTAGTCCGATGGATTGATCCATGCACATACAGGCAAGGTCTGTTTCATTACAAAAATATTCTTAAGAAGCACCTAATTTTACCCCTCCCTTCTCTCCATCCTCCATTTAAAGTTTTTGTATGTTTTACTGCTTAGCTCTCTCTGTTCTCAGTCATATTGTAACAACATTTTTTTTTAATTTCAGTTGATTTAAAGATATTTTCTCAAGGCAAGAATAAAATATTATTTCAGGTTATAGTAGTTCCACCAGTGCTGATAATGGAGAGGTTGTTAGTGTAGGAAGTGTTGCCGGTGGAGGACGCTATGACAATCTAGTTGGAATGTTTGATTCTAAGCATAGAAACGTACCGTGTGTAGGAGTGAGTATTGGAGTAGAACGAATATTTTCAATCATGGAAGCTCTTGTCCAGGTAAGTCTATTATGTTTTTACTAGAAATTAAATGTTTAATTTTTGATATTACCATTTTTTTTTATTGATTTATCAGCAGCTTTGTTGGTCAGGAGAAACTTGTGTGCTTTGACTTGAGGAACACTGCTTACATGTGTATGTTAATTTAAACTACAGTACAGACTAGATAAGCCAGAGATAATTGTAGAGTACCAGTCTTTTAACAGGAAAAAAATGATAGAAAAAAAAAGAAAATAGGCTTATTGAATGTTTTATGAATTCTTTAACTCTTTCAGCAGGGGCTCGGTCTCTGGGACCAACCATGTAACCATTGTGTGCTTGTTATAATTTTCATGCTGTAACTTTGAAATTAGTAAGCGAATGTTAGCGAAATTGGCAGATTATCAGTAAACATTACAATGCTTTCATATGCAAAATATCTAAATTTTTTTATTAAGTTTTAAGGTTTGTAAAGCAATTTTTTTCTCATGTCTTTTTTTTCTTTTCGTATGTTGCGTATCTATCATGCAAAGTAATATCCATTTTAAGATTAAAAATAGTTTTATGCATCAGAAAATTTTCAAATTTCACATACGAAATCTATATAATGTCCAGATAGTTATCAAACATTTCTTAAGAAAAACTATATTTTATCTGTTATTTTCAGTAAGGAATCTCTGTATGGGTTTGGTCAATTTGACCGATTTCGTAACCACATTAAAAAAATTAGGAAATATAAATTATGCCTTTTTCGTTCTAGAATGACTACAAATAATAACACAAAAACATAAATGCTTAGAGTAAATAGCTTAAATCTCATAACATTGTACATTTATATATATATATATTTATTATTTTTATTATATTGACCTTTCAGCCATGCCTATCTAACTATACAGAAGTTACAATGACACAGCACATGTGCAATCATGTTACCGTATTCAATAATATAAAACTGATCTGTCTTGGCTGTGTCTTAGTAGACTAGTATTTTGTAAATAATATATGTATATAGATTATTGCTATTTAGAAATAAGTTCTTAAACATATTTTTCCTAAAACATAGAACAGTAAATAAACAAGTAAAGCAAACAATTATCTTTTCTAGTTATGACCTTTATACTTGTTGTAGATTACTAAGCGTATTAACATTTTGCACATGGAAGATATGAAACAAAATTTTTTTTAGGTTTTATATATATATAGTTGAATAACCAAAAAATCATAAATTACTACATCAATACCATAGAATTCTACTGTAATTTATCAAGCTTGGTAACTAAGCTGAATTTCAGTCTATAAAAATATGAAATTTTAGCAGACTGAAAATACAACCTACCTCTTTGAAATCTTGGTTTGATAGAAATAAATGGCATCCAAACACGTTAAAATGGCTGTGAAAGCCACTAGGGGGACATTCTGAGCTTCCAATCGGTTATTCATGTCATATATAGAAGTAAGTGAATATAA